AGCCCTCTCAATGAGTCCCGCCAACTCTTGGGCGAGAAAGTGGTGCCTAACTCCCTTCAGCCCTTCTGAATATATTGAGACAGGCTTCAGATTTCAAAATGAATGAAGTGCAACAAAACAGCAACACAAGCAAAATCCACTGCCTCCTAGAAGCTAAGAGAGTTGCTAGGGACAAGTTTATATGGCTCACAGCAAGACATATTCACAGTCTCATTGTGTCTAGCCCTGGGACTGGAAGAAGCAGCAAAAGCTCTGGTCCACACTTGGAAGTAGCAGGGTGTAGTAGGAGTGGGGACAAGCAGGAACAGAGTGAAAACTGTTGGTGCTGGATCCCATGTTCATGATGTGAGTGTTAGGGGGTTGGAGGGGAAGGTTGCTTCGGACTAACCCTATGCGGTGTCTTCTCGCTCACTTGAATGCCCACTCACAGTTTAAGTGCACCTGCTGCGCTCCTGGTGCACATTTTCTGGTCTAATTTCATCTGAAAACAACCCAGGTCACTTACTCCAAGACTGCTCTGCAATGTAAGTCAAAGCACAATAAATGTGACAACAGATACATATGCCTGATCCAAACTAAAATGCTAACAGAGATGCACTCAGTGTGCACAAAAGCAGCCTTCTCATCTCTCCTCCTTCTCTCAGGACTGGCATAAAATCACTGGGGAGAAGAATCAGAGCCCTTCAATAATGGCACCAGCCTCCTCAGAAAGGACAGAAACCTCTGGCATTGACAGAAGAGAACAACCTGAATGTATTTCGAGAGCAATGGGGATCTGCCTTTACATTTAAAGACAGGCATTTAATTTGCTAAAGCCAAATGTGCACCAGCATCAACCAGAGCCTTAGGCTACTTTGGAGAGAGTATCCTGTTGCAAGAGTGTATCCTGTTATTAACTGCCAAAGAAAAAAAAGTATATTTTTCTGTGTTTTTGTACAATCTACAAAAATAGTTACTTTCCCCATGCTCTTTTCCACTTCCTAAAGAAATAATTTCAATTGCTTTCTATGTGGTGCTTTCAATGCCAGAGCACTTTACAAGCTCTTTGCACAGGACCACCAAAGTGCATGAACGTTCAAGGGGAAGCAACTTGAAGGGGAATTAGACCAGCACTGGCCAAAGACACTAGAGCAAACACATCAATTTCAGTGGAGAAGAAAGAAAACTGGCCTCTTCTGGGAACTGCAGGCAGCAGAAGCACAAAACTACTCTTATTCCTGCAGGAACTGGGAACCCAATGCAGCTCTGAAAGAGGAAGCAGGATTGTAAGCTGGCATCTGCATCACTGATGCAGTTGCTAATCATGTTCTGATTTGCTGCATGTCACTTCTCTGAAAGTGAAAAACAGCCTTTATTCCTTTTTCTTCTCTGACAGCTTTCATTTATAGCAAGCTCAGGTGTTCTTTGTCTTCCCACACACTGAGTATAATAACTTGTGTTTCACCTAAACTCAACTACTGTTTGGCTAAAGTATGTCTTCCAGAAAGGCATCAAGAGTTTAGGAATCCATCTTTCCTTCATTGCAGTTTTTTGTCAAGATGGGCAATCATCCTCACTTTGTCATTTCCTCATTTAAATTTGCCTGGGCTCCGCTTCCAGTGATGCCCGTGTTCAGGTTCCAGTAACTGTACTGAGGTCTGGGGTTTCTCTCTCAACACACTCAACATGTCACTGAGTTACAGATGCTTTCTGTAGGACAAATGATCTTTTACATTGGGTTTTTCACTGCCATGTGCCTGGTCCTACCTCAAAAATAAGGTAAGTGTTAAAAGCCCATCTGGCATGGTGGACTTTCCAAAAGAAGGAGCTAAGGGTGCTAAAAGAGTCCTTACAATGTGCTAAACGCCTTGCTGGAAGGTGTGCATAACACACAAGGCAAACATTACAGCAAGAACTGTCAGATGGCCAAGGGTGACTCTTACATACCCTTTTGCCAGTATCATCACACATGCAAAATCTCTACTACAGGATGCCAGTGGAAGTGTCTAACACAGGACATTAGGGACTTGGGCTCCCTGCACAATGTCAGCTGTAGCGTCTCACATAACCCCTTTCATTTGATATTAAGACATAATGACTGTTAAACTGGTGGCTCTTTATCCTCTTTTTGTGCTTCCTTAGTCAGTAGGACTGCTGGCTGGATTTGTATCCTCTCTCAGCTGCGCAGTGATCACCCCCATGAGAGTGCAGCAGGGTTTCAACATGCCCTTCCTCAAGGACCATTTATCAGCCACCCCGCTCTGCTGCTCTCTCCAACAACTTACCAGGCCACGGGGCCATCTCTAAGATGTGGGAGAAGTACCTGTGTTGCTCTCTCCTACACACATGGCCGCTCACACTGCAGCTTTCCCTTAACCCCCTTCTCCCTGGGAAGCCACTTTGGATCTGCCAAGCTGGAGGCATCTCAGCTCTGTTCGGTCCATCCTTGCCTCCGCCACCTTTGCCCAGCTACATCCCTCGCTCCGCTCCCAGGTGCAGGTAACACATCAGCCTGGCTCCACAGAGGAATTCACCCCAGAGCTCTGGAAACACCGATTTTATGAGCTCAGGGTTCAACTCTTCTGCTCTACAGAGAAGAACCACAAAGATTACACAAAAAGCCGAGAAGACTGTCGATGGGGAAGCAGGGAGGAGAGCCGTGCTGGGAGGAGGGCAGGGAGGCAGCGGGAGCCTGTCACAGCTTGCCGGGGTTACACCCACGCATACGGGCTGACGAGGCAGGCAGTGAGAGGGCAGCAGCAACATCAAACATAGCGAGGGAAGCAGACTAAATAAATAAATAAATAAATAAATAAATGCATACATAGTGAGGCCGTTCCTTAACTCTAAAGACCAAATTTATTTGTGGAGTGAGTGCTTTGTGAATGCTAGGGCCTGTCCAAAGTGCCAAGTCGGCAGTTTCTGAGAGCTGATTTACTGAAAGGGAACAGCACAGACAGCAGCTGTGCAAGTTTTGCATATTTCCATTTCCACCCAGACGGTTGTGTCCCTGTCGAAACAGCCAGTCCTGATGGCGCTTTCTGCGGGGCAGACAGCTGCCTGCTCCTGTCACACGATAATATCCTTTAAACTCCAGTCATAGATCCTGATGTCAATGGGCACCCTGCTTTTCGGAGAGGTTCTATTTTTTTTAGTGTTTTTATTGCATTAAACAATACATCAGTGATGGGCACCATACTGCAGTATCAGGGCCTTAAGCCCTGATCTGGGCTCGATCCCATCTGACAGTCTGGGAGGTAAAAGGTTTTACAGTGCTGTAACAAGCCCCACACGCCATGTAAGCTTCCTGGGCCGTTTTAAAACGAAGACGAGGGCAGTTAATGTAAGCCAGCCTAATTTCATTGAAGTTAATGGAGCTACTCAGGCTTGTACCAAGTGAAGATTTGACCCTTAGGCTGACTCTATGGCATCTAACTTAATCAACATCCAACTTGGTCCCCATCTATTCTGAATTTCTTGCATTTGTTCCAGGACTTCCCGACAAGGGTCAAAGCATATGCCTTCTTCTTCTACAAAGCTGCACAGTTTTTTAAAATACTATGCACAGATTAGGTTAGAACACTGGTTTTGACAACAGGAGTGAAAATACTCTGTCATACTTACTGAATGCCCCACTGCAATAGGTTCAGACTGTAAATATTGACCCATGGACAATGCCGGATTATGGTATAAGCCCCTCCGGGGAGATGCCGCTCTAACAGAGGCCATGTATCTCCTCTCTCGCCTAGGAGACAAATCTCTTCGAACAGACACATCCTTTCCTGGTGACATTGGTCTCCTTGGCGATAGGTGACGTCTTGGTGATGCGTCCCGTCTTGGGGATAACTCTCTCCTCAGCACAGCCTCCTTCCGTGGGGAAAGGTGCCTCATGGGTGAAATATCTCTTCGGGGTGACAGATGCCTTCTGGGTGACAAATCCCCTTTTGGCATTAAATACCTCTTTGGTGAGTTATCTCTATAGGGTGAAGAATCGTAGCCAGGTGACGACTGTCGACTGGAAGGTGAGAGGTCCCTTGGAGACGAACTGGGGTCTATCGAAAGCACGTAATCCTCATCCATGCAGCTAGGTATGTCTAACCTGTCTTTATCGGGCTCTGAATCGGTACTCTTGCTCTGGAAAAACCTCTGATATTCTGTCATCTGTGAGTCTTCACAGGAGTCGCTTGGTGTTATAAGCTGAGTAACCTGAATGCTAGGTAAGGTGACCAAGTAACTGATGAGGGAGGAGTGTCCCACGGGAAGGGAGCCCTCGGGGGAAGCCCCCTGCGACGCCCCAGCTGAGTTCACCGACAGGGAGGAGAACCGAGGGGGCTGTGGGCTGGTGCTTCTTGATCTGGTTTTTGGTGTCGAGTCTCCCTGAGTATCATCAAAATCATCCTCATCTTCATCGTCATCGTCATTGTCATCGCCATCCTCGCCATCTGACTCCTCCGCGTCAGAAAACTGGTGCTCTGCTGAAAGACCTGCCAGGCTGCTACTCTTCTCTGCCTCCTGCTGCATGTCCTCCATGTTTTCTGAAACAGCCATGGCAAGTCAAAATGGTGAGCACACACTCCACCTCTTATGCCTTCCGCCACATTCATTCCCCACCCAGCATACCCATTGCCGTTGCCATCGCTGGATGCTCTTCATCTGGAATGGCTGCATAAAGCCATTCTTCATAGTCTGAAACCTTAATTTTTCATAATAGTACCTTAAAATTCTATATTTGAAAGGAAGTATAAAAATCAAATTCACCCTACCCCACCTTGCAACTTCACTAAACGTTGCCATCTCTCACATCTAAATTGAAGATTGGGAACTTTGTATTAGACAGAAGACAACAGATCATACTTTTATTTCTAGCTCCTCCCCACGTATCTTAATAAAAAATGTAACTCAGACAAATGGATTGGATTGATTTTTTATACTTCCTGTTTATTAAGAAGATGCGTCTTAATTAAAAAAATGCCCCAAATACACTTAATATATCTTCCCATGCCAGCCACTGTGCTAAAGTGCAATGAGTCATTTGCATACTCCAGAGGCCATTCCAACTAAATTAAATCATTCTGACATACCTGCTTCTTCAGTTTCAGCATCATCTATGGATGTCATTGATACTCCAAGCTCCAGGCATTTTTTCATGTGTGCTTTAGACTTCATATGTTTTGTCAGATTTCCTACGGATCAGAGATTAATCTTATTAATGGACAACAGCAAAGATCACTCTTCAAGTCAGGTTTTGGTGTATCTTAACTCCGTTATCCTGCAGATGGGTGGTGGTTTTTAGTTTAAAAAAAAAACCTCAACAAACAGAGCTGACTCATCCAGCCCATTGCCCTCAGAGCCTGTTTTAATGAGAATGGGTTTTTGTATTTTCCAAAAAACCAAAATTTTCAAATAAACTTCAACTCAGCACCTGAGAGGTATATAGGCATCTCTACAATTTTCCACATGAAATTTAGGCACCTCAACAAGCTAAAAAACTCACTTTTGGATGTTACGTATCCCTGGGCTCAGTGTTCATGATATGTACAGACTGCCTGGACATCAAATAAGTCCAATGCACACCAGCCGTTCAGGGCTCACACTCCTAGCTTCCTTGAAAGCAGTACTTTCAAGCTAAGGGCTCCCATTTACTTCACATGTAGGCTCCAAACGTTCAGTGTGTTCGAAGCATTTTGAAGTAGAAGTACCCCACAAAAAAGACATTTATGGGAGACTTCTCTATGCAAGTTTACCATCTAGCTGCAATCGCAGGACTGAGAGGAGCTGTACTTACATCATTCACCTGGGATGGGGGAGATCCAGGCTAAGCTCCCTACTTTGGAGTACGGATCTGAACCAGACACAGCAGGGGTTTGAAATCAGATCTCCCATTCCCCTGAGGGAGCAATCTAACACTAGACTATTGACTTTCTGGAGTGCCTGTCTTGGTCTGTTTTTTTCACAGATAAGAAAACTGGGTTGAGACTGGCCCCAAGAGACATTTCATGGCAAAGAATCTTGAGCACAAAGCACAAGCTAGAGAAATAACAGTATCACTCTAATCCATTAGCCACTTCAGTCACATTTGCAACACCCAACGGGGAAGCATGGCACAAGCAAGCCCAACCCACTATCACGACATGGTGCTTCTTAGCTCAAGGAAAGCACTCTGTGAATGTACCTATGCTGCTTTTGGGACCCCAACCAGCATCCCCAGAAGGTGCATGTGGCACATGTAACCTGAGGGCAGGAATACTGCACCACGCTGTTGGATAGTGGAGGTGTGGTTAGAAGCTCACAAGCCAGGCTTCTCTCCTCTGACTTTCAGTCCCAGCTAGTTCAAATAATTCCCTTCTGAGTAAGAGTTTCTTATTGTGCCTGTGCACTGCATGAAAAGTCTAACTTGGCCACTGATGCCTCTGGATGGCTAAACACTCAGGGTGTACACTGAAAACCTAAGTGCCTCTGAAGGTCTGTACCCTACTGTTCTCAGCAAAATAGCGACAATTGTTACGAGGCTGACAGCTGCTCATAAGCAGTAATACACCAGTTAAACACTTCATGTACTTTGAAGAATAACTTAGCCTCTTTGTACTCGTGCCCTTCTTGTGCAATAGCGTACCACCTCCTCCCTGTTTCTTCTTCTCTGCCAGAAATGCTAGCCTCAGCAAGCAATTTCACATTTCTTTCCATGCCATCTGCTCTTCCTGGAATGTCCTCTCTGAACACAGCTGCAAAACCACAATCCTCCTTCAAGTCCCTCCTCAAGACCCATTCCTCCAGCAATGGCAAATGTAAACAATGATCCGAGAACAGCTCACCAGATGGTCTATTGGGACTATGAACGAGCAGCTCCTTGTCTTTGTCTCTACACCCCCATGAAAGTTCTCATCTTAAATTAGGTTGATGGGTCTACTACCATTCCCATCTTTGGCAGAGGAAGAAGTGCTGGAGTCATGGAAACTATGACAATACTCAATCCTCAAAACAGCCATGAAGTTGCACTGGGATCTTGGGAGAAATTTCCTTCAGCTTCCTCTCTCCTGCTTCAAGTAAGTTCACCACACTGGGACCAGAATCCGTTTCCCTTGTATGCCAAAGGGAAGCTAAGAAACTGAGAATGTAAGGCTCATTTGGGCTGTGCTACAAAGAAATGCTACCAAAGAAAAGGATTTTTTTTTCTTTTAAGAAGATAGTTGCAACGCAAATCCGAATTCCAAAGAATATCATTATCTGTGGCCTCAGGGTGACAAATGGAAGCTTTTTTCTGTGCTGATAAATACATGTGAACACAAGCTATCAGATCTCTATCCATAATTAATGCCACAGTGGATGGAGTGGCCCATCTGGGAGACATACATTATTTATAAACTTGAAACTGACCCACTGTAAAGCCCGTGAAGGCATGTTTTCCTCAGCAGCTGATGCTCTGCTTCTACATTATGTCATAACAAGTGTACTCTCCTGGTAGCATTTAAGTGTTGCTGCAATTAAAATTTGCACCATGTAACAATTTTGGCAGAAAGTATTATTTGTAAGGGAGGTTCTTATACTACTACATTTTCTCTGCAGACAGATGGACCAGCCAAGAGCCTATAGCTCTTAATGAAGCTATTCAAGGAGTCTCAGAGTCTCACAAAATCCCTGGATCAATTAAACAGAAGAGAAAAACCTCTCTCATGAATTTCTGTATACATAAACACAATAATTTTATTCTGAAGAAAATTCTCTCCTTGATTGCAAAGGGTGCTTGGATCCTACATGGCAAAATAGTTCAAGATTTGTTTGGGAAGTGGCAGGAGTTCAGCAAAAAGGGTCGAGTACCTTTAGTTTTGAAGGCAAAATTGCACAGCTTGCATACATAAGGCCGGACATCAGTATGAGTGCGGATATGTTTTTTGAGCATGCTTGGCTTTTTGCAGCGAATTCCACATTCTTCACAAATGTACTTTCCTCGGCCACGACCTCTGACATAGACATAATCCTCATTTGATTTATACCTGTTGGAAGAGAGCAAGCATTTAAATCATACAGACTTCAGGTCACATACATGGACAAACATCACCTCTATGCATCTGATCCTGATCCTGTATATATCTCATCATAACAAATCCACAGAAGTCCATAAGAACTAGTGAATTTTCAGGCTGGAACTCACAAAGTATATTTGCCTTTCAGGGAACGCACTGGTCCCAATGTGCTTTAACAATACGAGACCAAAGGGTTGCAGTGTGAGAACAGTATAACCACCTTGTCAGGAAACAGATTAGCTACCATTCCTATAGGCACAGCGCAACTCCAAATACAAGTCTGCAGGCTGGATTTATTTCAGCTAACTGTAGTCTTGTACAATGTAGGCATCTACCACCACTGAAAACAGCGTTTTTTTGTGGCACAGTTCATTTAACTATTTTAGTGTATTTATCCCTTGGGATCAGATAAATTACATCCTGGAAATGCCCGTTTCTCCCCATTAAGCATAAAGGGAACGCAGATGACTAGCAAGGATGTACACATTTACACTACAGATGCCTGACGTTCCAAAGATGGATCCCTCCCTAAGGGACACCAAGTTGAGTTCACTCAGGTACGTGCTGCTTTAGAAATAAAATGGGAAACTTCCAACCTGCATACTCAGCAGAAAGCTGTTAAAGGATTTTTTTCTTAGCACAGGCGTAAGCATTCCATGCTATTTTTGCTGATTACATAGCGTGTAGTTAGACAATAAATAAGATATGCAAATCTATGTAGAGCTGCACATTGCCTTTACTATCTTGATAAATTGTTAATACTGAAATCTAAAAGGGCCCAGGGGATCTGCTCAGGCTGTTTTGAGGTTTGAAGAGTGCTGGGCATTCCCTAGAGGGAGAATTTCATCCTCATTCACCCAAAGTAAAATCCAGAAATTGCGAGAACTGAGAAATAATATTTTTTCTGCCCTCTGTCCTCCGCTGCCCTCTCCCTAAGCAGCACAAAGTACTTTCAGTCACCCTGTGGATCTGCAGCCCACAAAATATCGTTGGTTACTGACAGTCAGTGCTTTAAATAAATAAGGGACTGTGTGAAAGATTCTGTTAATGTGATGATAACTCTACAAGAAGCAAGTGGCAATTTTTGGGTTACAGAGCTGAAATATTTTTCAAGTGTGCTTTACTTAGATGAACACTTCTTCCATATGTTCAGCTATATCACTGGCAATATAAATACTGAAGCTAATATCTTAGAAATACATAAGACACTGTCCTGTTCTCATGTCTATCTTATTATCTATTAAACACATCAGCTCCTCTTTCAAATGTGGGTCCCTAAATTCAGTTCTTTTCATCTTCTTTCCAATAAAGTTGGCCCTTTCCCTTTTCCTTCATTGTCCCTGGTACTCTGGGCAAAACTGGCATAGTCTAATGTCATTTAATATTTAGCCATCTCTCCAGCAGGTATTTTTGTGTAACATTTCTGGGATTCTGCTTTTCTGTCTGCCCCATTTCCCAGGTTCTCCTTCACACACACATGCCAATGACTCCTTGTCATCTATCCACTGCTTCATCAACTACCTCCAGGCTTTCTCCCACAGACAGAAAAAATGTCCATTATTGTTTGAAAGACTGCCATTTTATCTTCTTTTCATCTCTCCTTGCAGTCTGATCTTGCTGGGATGGAGTCTACCATATCACCCCTGACTGATACTGGTAAGATAAATGCTGTGTTATAACATGTGCTTTTCTGTTGCTCCATCTCTGCTGTTCCTCTGCCTGACCTCATTCCACTGGCTTCTGTCACCTGTCAGATCTCATTGGGCACAAAGACAATTAGACAAGATCTGTCTCTTCATCATTCATATGGACGGTTCTTGGCCATAACTGACCTTGACTCTCTAAGTATGCTTCACCATAATGACAAGTGTAAGAAAAATGACACACGCAAATTTGACACTTAAAGATGGCCTCGTCCAAAAACTGAAACACCAGAAGACTGAGTCTATGGTGATTATTTTTCTAGCCCCCAGGAATATTAGCTCTTACTACTAACTCGTGCCTCTCTCAAGGCTTTCAGTAATTTCCCCCTGCCCACTACACAACTTTCATATAAGGAAAGAGCAGGTCATATAAGGAAAAGCAGGTCACTGCTGCTCTGAGCTTGATTTGAATGGGACTCTAGAGTTAAAAAGCATTAACAAGTCCTGCAATTTCTATCCAAAATGTTATTTTATTGGGGATTTTCAATTAGATCCTATTACTGATAGATGTAAAAGCACAAACATAAGCAAACCGTGAACTCTTGCTGTCAGCTGATAATGTGATTAAGTCAGATGTCAGGTGAGCAGGCATGTTTGCCCTGTCCCTCCTTTCTTTTCACTTCATGCCATTAGTAACTAACTGCACTGCAGCAAGTACTGAACTTCATATTGCTGCTTTTCTTTGAGGAACACTGCTTCATATCCCATCAGGGTTTTGCAGTCACAGGTGATGGAAAGCAGATTTTGTGATTCAGATCATTTCATTCAAATCAAGGCACCTGCCAGAGGTAATAATATGGTTGTTAGCTTCTTCCTTCAAAACTCCCTCTGCTGCGATGCTTACAAACTGCTCTTGATGGTCTTTGGTGCAGCGAGGTGGTGATATGCTGTGACATCTACTTTTTGGCTCAACTCCATTCATCCTGTTCCTTCAGCTTCTTCTCACTCTTCCCCAGCCCCGTCTATTTGCTTTTTGCCCACCTGCCATACGAGCACTTCACTCCCCTGGAACAAGGCAGCTGCACAACTGCACTTCCCTGCCTAGTGGACAGGCTTTCCCACAAACCGAAAACTGACAACCGTAGATCTTTCTCAACTATGGATTCTGAATTGCCTTCTTCACACTTACAAAGCAAAAGCAATCAAGAAGCCTAAGCAAATCCACTCCCCAAGACAAACAGAAAACAAAATGAAAATACGCTGCTGAAACAAGGTATCACCATGCATGCTTGTCTGTCCAGGGGAGAAAATGTGAAACAAAGATGACAGACATTTGCTGCATAGTTCAGTGCACCACTTGCACATGCCAAGATGACACGAAGATGAGCTTGACGAGAGTAGAGCAGAACAGAGTACAACAGAATAGCTCTACAAAGAGCAAGGAAGCATGGAAACCCACCCATGTTAAAAACTAGCTTTCAGAAGTCATAAACAAAACCCTGAAGAGGAGGACAAATTCAATAGTCAGGACAGAAAACAATGAAAGACATGGTTATAATACGTAAAGAATATTAGACCCATTTAAAAAAAAAAGACCAACCTAATTAAAATAATAGATCTACCCTTCCACAAATAATTCCTATAAAATGTATGATAAAATTATGATGTATACAAAAAGAGTGGACCCATTAACATTATATCATCTCATTCACTGTAGCTTTGCGGATTATATGCGTGTATTGGGGAAGTCCCAGTCTATTCCACAGATTATTTGTCCCTCCCACTCCAGAAATTAATGTGCACATCAAGGTTTCTTACGTTTTGTTCTACTCAAAGGATACCTAAACATAGCCAAGTATTACTGGGACACATTTCTAGGGGACACATGAATTATATGTCTTTATGCAAATAGTTTCATAGACCTTATTGGTGCACAGGGAAACTTAAGATGGTGTAAGTAACATGCAAAGTTTCTTAAAGAAGGTGTTAGATGATAGAGGCATTTTATAGAGTGATCTGTTGCAGCTCACACTTATCTGAATCCTCCTTTAAGTTGCTTTTCTTAACACACTTTTACTTTTCTGACCTCTCATCACACAGCTTACAGCAGTGCAGACTATCTTCAGCTGGGTGATCCAAATTCAGAAATGATGCATAGCAGGAAGCAGGCAAATTTTGTACTTCAAAGTGGGTGTGAGGTGAAGCAACAGCTCTTTAAACTTCTTGTAGACTTAGGCTCACCCCTGAATTTGGGTCACTCTTGTGCAGCCAGCCTACTGGCTTGGGTACAAGGACAATGTACAATTACAGACAACAGCCAGGATGAGGATGTCTGGGCCAGCATACCTATCACAATCTCCAAAGTAACATTTTCAATCTTTCAGGGAAGATGTAGGCTATACTCCTTCACTCTTGCAGACTACAGAGAAATGCCAATGCTCATTTCATGGAGACTATCCAAGTGGAGCCAAAACACATAATGTTAATGAAGGACAACTGAGATTTTAAAGTGTACAAACTGATGGGAGAAGGAAATGGATGTACGAATTTCTCACATCTCTATCCTGACCTATTTAGTTACCCCAATAAAACAGTGCTGTGAGACCATCTGAGTTTGGTAAGACTGAAAACCACATCTTGTTCAGCTACCTGACTATTCACTACTAACAACTGGCGAATTAATTGCATTGTGTCAGAATTCTGTAAAAGAAATAAAACAATATCTTCCATTTTAGAGTGTACTGCAGAGGCAAACAAGTGTTCATTTCATTTGTGTTTTATAACAAGCTTCATAAGCTTCAAAACAATGCTAATGAACTTTCAGGTCTCCCTTTTCCCTCTCTTACTTGTTTCTGTTATCACTTGAGTGATAGATGGCAATGGTAAAATTAAACATTATTTTATTAACCATATATGACAGATCTATGGATTAGGCTTAGATACCATAGATTTCATTGTCATCTCACATTTTACCTCCAAAATCCAACTTCAGTAAATAATAAAAAATTACAAGAATAAGAATAAGCATGCCTAGCTAACCCGTTCAAGTGAGTGGACATACACAGACTCTAAAAATGGAAAGATAACCTCATGGAAGCCATTAAATACAAAGAAATGGTATAGAAAATATCAAAATGTTAACCATTTATCCATTTCTTTATGACGTAAGGAACAACACTAACAATTTTGAGGGAGTGCTCTCACACAGACAGAAGATATAATTGTCCTAATAGCAAAGTAGAGCCAAGAGTTAAGTACACAGGTACCCTGTAGTTTAAGACTGACATATACATAAAAAAAGAAGAGGCTTGGGAGCTACAAGACATGGCAGGAATACAGGAGACTGTTCACATCCTAATTCATTCATATTCATTTTCAAATGTCTTTAAAATGACAGGCTGAGCTTGAAATTTCCAGTTGCATTTTCTTACCCTCCTTCAAAGATTTTAATTCGTATCGGCTCAGTTTGTTTGGATGTAATGTCTTTATCTCCATGAATGTCTCCTTTTACTCTTTCTTTTATAATATTCCCCACTACTTTCTTTTCAAGCTTGCTGCCAAACAAGAAGAATGGCTCGTGTTTCATCTGTAGAACAAAGTCAAGGAAGGGTGTTACTGCTGGAGCACACAATAAACGCACACTTCATTTCAAGTACTTTTAACATTCCAGGTCAAAGCCAAACTCTCATTTTGGTGCAACTCTATAAGATGAATTCATTTGTCCCATTTAATTTGACGGAGAATAAGAGAGGGGGCAGCATGGACAAATTTTTACAAGAGTCTTGACAGAAAAGACAGCACCATATCCTTCCTCAGAAAAAAATCATGGAAAATAGAGATGGAAAAGCCTTAGACAGTAATTTACTGCCATTACAGAATTTTCCCTGGCACCATTATCTAATGCTTAGTCCATGAGGAAGAGTCAGCACGTAAAAGACATTAAATGGATCTGAAGATCCTTACTCAATTTTAACTTAATCTTTACTTACGAACACACATGGATGTTTGTGTCTGACACTGTTTCAATCAGGACATGGCAAAAACAAAGGACAAAATAAAAGGAGATAATGTATCAGGCTCTGGCACACATGAAGGGAGGGCTTTAAAAGCCTCACTTTTTACCTCTGATTTTGAAAATGGAGACAGAGACAGCAGAAGTAGCAGAGCTTGCAGAAGGGTAAACTGAGGCTCGAAAGTTGTCACGGGAAGATGTCAATGTCTGATTTCCCAATGGGGAATGTTTTTTTTTTTAAAAATCATTAACATACATTTCATAGTTTACTAATATTTTCTCAGATAAAGATATACTAATTTAATTTTACTAAAACCTCTTATTTACCTGAGCAAACTGCTTCCATGCACTTGATGATGTCAGTTTACCAGCTCCAGGTCTATGCATAGCAGCCAGAGTGTAGATTTCTGTGGTGTTTTTTTGCTTGGACCTTAAAAGTGCTAAGGTGGTCTTTGTACTTAGCCCAGATGGGTTTGGGTTACATGAACTTATACACCATGAAGCATAAACAGAAGATTTGAGGGTTGGTTGCTGAATGTAATTGGGTTTTGTATAGTTTAAGAAACACCAGCTCACAGTAGTAGTAGTGCGCAGACTTGGGAACTGAAGGATCTGCTGAAAATCTGCTACGTCTGTCAGGAGAATGGTTGAGCCTGTGACTTTCCCACTGGTATTGGATGACATCTGGACTAACATCCCGAGAGGCAATTTTTGATGTTTCAGTTGGTCTTCTGGCTGAATTTCTCCTGGTGGCAATGAAGACCTCTGTGGACTCATGCTCATATCTGAGGCTGTTTCATCCACATCCAGTTCTTCTGGCGAGTCTCTTCCTTCAGAAGGGCCACTGGACTTCTGCCCTGGTGACGTGGAATCAAAACTGGAAAGTTTCTCCCTGCTCAGGGGGAAAGCATCAGCTGTTGGCATGCTAACAGGTGGGAAATCTTGAGATGATGAGGATGACAGCGGTGAAGAGGATGACATGGATGGCAGACTTTCTTTTGGCTCGGTAGCACAGCTCTGCCGTACTAGTTGAGGCTTCTGCATTCTTGGAAAATCTTTCTTTATATCTGAGTTAGTTAACTCAACTGCACTTAGCTCCTCAACTATCTGCCCATACATTTTTTCTTCTTTGACTCGTTTCTGCTGCTTGGTCTCCATGAAGAGCTCCAAGCTGCTGGCAGGTGAAAGCATTCGTTTGCCTCCTCCCAAGGTAGAAGCCATGTCAGAACTGGAAGGCAAACACAGGGGAATTGGTGGCTCCAGTCCGAGTGGTAGTGTCTGTGGCACTTTCCACAAAGGATATTTTTCTAGCCCTCCATGCTGACCCAACATCTGAGCTATGTTAAATCCAATCCCTTGCATGGTTGCATTAGTTGCCAATGTTCTTTGAGAAACCGTCTCATCAACTTTACAAATTACAATCGCAGGACTGTTGCTCTGTCCAAGGATCTGGGAAATGCTTGTGTACATGACACTACCGTAAGATGGCACATGGGTTTGAATCCTGACGGGAACAACTGTTCCTGGCAAAGACTGTACAGATCCATCACTTGGGGAGTCAAAATCTGTCTGAAAATGCTGCTCAGAGGAGGTATCTGTTGGTTTAATGCTGTGGTCTGACTGGTACTTAGCAAGAGTATTTTTTGAATACTGCCCAGATGTTCCTGAGAAATGCTGGTATGCTTGCTCTTTAGCGTGCACATAATCAGCTGGTTTCTTTCCAATAAGCTCTGGTGTGTGTTCCAGGTGGTAACTTGGAGGAACGTCTGTTTGGAAAGGCTGTTTGACATAAGATTTCTGCAGCTGCTGTACAAAATGATGCTGGAAGTGTAGAGGTTCTGTGCATGGCTGCCACAAGACAGGCTGCTGAGACGGTGGTAAGTGAACCATGCAGACAGGTGGATATGGGAACTGAAACAAGGTGCTATGAATAGGGGGAAATGGGACTTTTTCCTGATGTGCAAATAGCTGCTGCTGCTCTGATGGATGTTTGTTAGGAATATAAGGTGCTTGCTGGATCAAGGGAGCCCTTAACATTTCCGGGCTGTCTGCAAGAAGAGCCTGTTGCTGGGCAAGGTGGGATGAGCTATTACTAAGCTGAGCACAAGAGCCAATAGCCTGTTTTCCAGAGTCATCTACCTGGATGGGCTGAAGTACAGACGAAGGGGAGTGATGCCAGGCAAGCTGGGAGGAGCGAAGACCAGCCTGTGCATGTTCCATCTGCTCCTGCTTTATACTTTGTTCCGTGCTCTGATCAGTCTGGGAAATCTCTGGAAAACCGGTGAAGGAAGCCTGGCGAACCAAGAAGCATTTCTTCCTTTCTCGGGATGGAGACAGTGCCGTAGTAGGTGTCACAGCTGAAGAGGCATGAGACAGGTTCCCATAATCAAAGGATTTACTTCGGATCTCTGGGATTTCAGCAGCATGAGGACAGGGCATCTGTTCAGATGAGCAGCGTCTCATTTCCCTCTGATGGTGATGCCCAGGGACAGAAAGTGAGTAAGCACCAGCTGGAACTGTTAAAAACTCAGACTGCTTTCCAAACTCATCTTGTTTGGGAGGCGTGATGAACTTCATATTCTCTTCTCTTTCAAACGACATTGAAAAACTCGAACTGTGGGACAAATTACTTTCTTGGCTAGGGCTGCGAGAGAGGCTTGTACCTGTGGACTCAAAGCTGGATTCTCCAGAGGAGTGCTCCATGTCAGCCAGTCGTAAACGCTTCTTTTTGGGTGGTAGCTTTTCAGCTGGAAGTTGAGAAAGGGTTTCACTTCTCTGGGGCCACTGGAATTCTTCAGTGGATCTCTCCTGCTCTTTACTCTGCACTTCTTTATCTTTCTCAGGCTTATCTGGCTCCTCTGTGACACGAATTTCAGGTACCTGTATGTTGTGCTGGCGAACCAACCTGGGCTGCATATGATACGGCTGAGGCTGCTGGGATGGAGACGGCTTACTGGTGTCAGCATTTTCCATTTGTGGAGCTCGGTCTGGGCTCATTGGGGACTCACAAATCTCACTCTCGCATGTTTCAGATGGTGAATAGATCTTTTCCTGCTGGCATGCCATATGTTCTGTAGATTCAGACCTTTCAAATGAGTTTGGCCTGCTCAATGAATTTGTGTGCTGAATGACAGAGATGACATTTCCAGGGGGCTTTCTAGCCAGTGATTCTGCAGTCTTTTCTTGCTCTGCAGTTAAGGATGAGTCTTCCAGAGAAGCTGCCGGGCTTCCAGACTGCAAGTAAGGCCTGCAGATTTCAAAACGTTCCGCATGGCAATGGGCAGCATTGTCCAGGCCTTGAAGGGCAAATCCGCTCCTTGGCACTTCCTGAATTTGGGATTTGGGATCAAAGTCCAAAGGCTGAATTCCACCAGTGGTGCCAGTCATACTGCTGCAAAGCATGGGACTGTCCTCCTCATCTCCAACACTCTCCTCTTTCCTGCGCTTTCTGTTTTCAAAAGTTGTTCCAAGCATGGATGGCACCACCTGAGATTGTCCAAGTGGATCAACAAAGTACTCTCCTGCCTTGTTCATCCCACCTAAGGATGGTGAGTCCCTGTAGTTCTGCTTCTGAGCTTCAAATTCTTCCCACTTTCTGTAGTGCTTTCCGCTGGCATCATAGTCATAAAAGGTCTTGTCTCCTTTCTTCTCTTTTAAGGATGGTCCTTTGTCACCGGCTGTTTGTCTGCTGGAAGCAATAATGATATTTTTCCCTGGTCTTCCATGATAGTCTGAATCTGAGTGCCCTTCCTGCACAGAGGGCAGTTCAAAGGCAGCCTGTCTTCTCAACATCCTTTGGTGGGATATTCCCACTGTCCCAGGATAAAATACATCATCTGAGCCAGTCATCTTCTCGTCAAATGAATGGCTTCCTCTCAGAGATGGGGGAATACTTAGGTTGTTTGCAGAAGATGTTGGCATGGAGTTACTTCTAATAAGAGGAGTGGAATCTACTGGGGGCTCTAGAAGGATGGGCACGTCACCCTGCTGACTGACTTGGTACAGGCTGGATTCACTTTTGATGGATGATGTGGTAGTCTGGGATTGCCTAGATTCTGTATTGCTGCCTGGATAAACTTGTGTAGATTTAATAGTGCTCAAATTACTGGAGTCAATGAGTTCTTCTTTATTTGGAGTCAGCTGAGAAATATGTTCCTCAAGCATCTTGATATCTAATCTGTTATTTAAAAGAGGTAATGGCTCTGCTTTGCCCTTTCTACCCATTAAACTGTGTTCCTGATTTGCTGTGGCTACTGTTAGTGCTGTCCTTTGATTAATCCTATAGAACTTCCCAAAGATGATCTCTTCGTAAGACTTTGCATTAGTATTTGGTGGGCTAATTTGCTGCTCAGCACTTTCTGAGCGGGAAAAATAACCAGAGTCAGTGCTTCCTTTACTGTGTGGGCTCAGAAGGTTTAACGACTGCTCAGAATCTTGCCCTTTCTTCTCTGACAGTCTTAGTGCAAGTCGCTGTTTAACTGTATGAGAGTCATCAGACTTAGTACTTAAGGATGGGTTTTGCAATATATCAGAGCCAATATATGGTGAATTCTCACTGGGTAACTGAATTCCACTTTTAGGGATGATCAAAATGGGCACTTTCATTGGCCCCACCAAGGACTCTTCCATGGAGGAGTGAAAACTGCTCCTGCTAGCAATGTCCAGGGGGAGCTGTGGGACAGGGCTCAGTTTGTCAGACCCTTCCACTAGGAGTGGGGTCTCCTCATCAGTGTCCGTGCTCTGCTCGCCATCTGAATGTATTTCAGCTTCCACATCAATGTAACTGGCATCTAGGTCCAATTTAGAGACTGCTGATTCTGTGAAAGGTACCAACCCTGCTTTAATTGCATGGGCATGTGACTTCCTGTGCTTGTAAAGGTTGCTCTTCGTCTTGAAGGAGAAACCACAAGGAACACAAGGGTACGGTCGCTCTCCAGTATGAGACCTAATATGCTTCTTAAGTACACTAGGTTTGGCACAAGCCCGATTACAGTAAGGACAAATATACTTGCCAGGCTTTTTGGGTTTGTGCTCCTTTTTGTGAGCATCATCTGATTGTTCTAAAGATTTCTGTGAATATTGGCTGTATGCAGGGTTCAAACTTGAAATCTTCTTCCTGGAGAAACCTCCGCTATGGCTATGCATATGAAAAGGAAACAAGTCCTCTGAGGCAACTGATTGCAAGTGGCTAGGAAACTGCCACGGAGGGCCTTCCAAGCTCTGATGTGGCTTTATGTTGTGCAAGAAGCCTTGTGGCAATGAATGCTGTGGGAAAGAAAGTGAATGTTGACATGAGTAAGGACTTGGACGATGCTGTGGATATTGCTTCTCTGTGACTTGCTGTGCAGTTTCATTCGATGATACCAGTTTCCCAGAACTAAAAAGTTGTGCTGATGCTGTGTTTCCAATTTGCTCGTGATCTATTTGTGGTTGCCTCTGTAATTCTTGATTGCCAAAAGTGCTCATCTTAATAACAGCTGGATGTTCTTGCCTCCATCTACTTGGTACTTTAGCAGTTTCTCCAGACCTTGAGGTAGCTTTTTGCCCTATAGCTGTGTCCCCAGAGTCCATTTTGTTACACAAGGTCTTAAGTGCTAGTTCACTTGAAAGCTGTGCAGACACATGGAGTGTGTCCAAAGCTGTGCTTTTTAAAGTTTTGTTGCTCCCATTTTTCCAGGGCTGTTGCAAGTTCACAGACTTTTCTTTCTCTTTGGAACTTTCCACGCAGTAGTCTATAGGCATTAGATTTGTGTCTGTACACTAATGTGGGTATTATACAGTTCTGTTCATGGCAGGAACTTTCCTAAACAGTTTATTATACATTTGCAAAGACTTGTTATAGCATTTGGACATTTTCCATTCTTATTAAATACTGAGATGCAGAATGACCCAGAGATATTTGTGATCTACTAGAGCAAAGTTCTCTTCATCTCTTCCATGGTGACACAGCTATCTGTAAGGAAAAAGCAAAAACAAAGAAACCACACACACCAATTAATACAGCCATGCAAAATAACATCGATGCAGTCAGTTGCACTTTCATTGAGCCTTTCATGAAACTTATTGAGGGACTTAAGTAAAGGCAACTACATGTCACAAAACCCCCTTTTGTCAGGCTCCAGAAATTGCACACAAGCGTAATCACTACTCAGTAAAAGCCTTGGGAACAGAAAACAGGGATCTAGACTTTCCAAATTGAATAGAAGCTTTGGAGGGCTTTCTGGGGACAGTTTAAAGGCTCGATTCTCAGAAAGTCCACCACCTACTGTCAAAGCGCTGTCAGTAAATCGCTGCTGAAAATGGAGTCCTAACACCACGGGTGGGAATTACCTTATCCAATATTACTCACCTACAGTTCAGACATGCACTTTAGTCACCCAGCCTTCCTCTAAAGTCAGAGAAGGGTGATCAGTACTTCCAGAGGAGAAATCTTTCCATATCGTGATGGATATTTCAGACATTGGGGATGTCTATGCACATGGCCCTCCACTCTGGAGATGCCCATTTCTAACTGTCAGCTAGGCAGTAATCCCAGATGACTACCTTTGGAGTACATACCAAATTTTAAGATGGCTAAAGTGAGGTACTTCTTACCTTAGACCATCTAACTGGTTTTACAAGAAGATGTTGATCACCCTTTTAAACCACTTTTAAACAGCCAAAGAGACATCAAATAAGCATTCTGAATGCAACATTACTGGTACCCTCCCACATCTCCATCTTCCAATCACTATATTAAATTTTAGTGAGAATGTCTTACTAGAGGTAAAACACGTATTAAAGAAATGAGCTACGACTGTGTTTATGTGCCTTTAGCATTTTAGATTTCAACATCGAAATTTCCATCCAGTTATACATGTACTGTTTATACTTAAATGCACTACGTTTCCACAGCTGTACTATAAAGAAGAAATGCTCAGAGGTATGATTTTCATAGACAAGTACAGCATTTGAATTTGAAGAACAATGTAGGTTTTCTGCTTCCATATTATCCAAACACAGGATATTTTCTGGATGCAACAGTGAGAATTATAAAGACAGTCATGATTTTACAATAGCGAGGAAAAGGGTAAAAAAAGCAGTATTAGAGATACTGGAATATTTTTCATTCCTACAGTGGAAAAACTGAATTGGGCTTGAGGAAACATTAGCAAAGTGCAGGCCAACACATAAAGAATGGGAATATATGATTTTTTTTCAGTATAAAACAATTACCTGCATCTTCTAGGAATCTAATAGGCATGACTATCTTCAAATTTCCTGTAGTAAAAAAAAATACAGTCATAAGAAATTCTTGATACTAAGCATACTGCTGAAGAAAGTTTTCTATTCTTTACAGCAGAGGCCCAAAAAATTTCATTTATCCATCCACTGGAAAAAATTCACATTGTGTCTTAGAGGTCTGAGCAACCACATTTTGATGAATAATGAGTGCGAGTCTTTTTAAAATATTTGGGTTTCTAGCGTGTAGATGAGTAACTGCAAGTCTGAACTGATGCAGTCTCACCTTCCTGAATCGGTCAAAAGAGAGCTGCCAATGTCCCTCTTCATTCCTATGCCTTCGCTAAGCCTGGATTATCCCTGAATCCCATTGGCAAATCCTGTTTCAATGCCTCTCTCCAGCTAATACTTTTATGCTCCAGGCCTCTCATTAAATGTTTCACGGACCAGAACAAAAACCTGTCCTGGGTGTCACCACTCAGGTACAAGAAAACATAATGAAATGCAAGTAGGCTTCCAAATCAGTTAACACCAGTGGGATACTGCTCAAGAATATGTGGCTGCCTTCTCAGAGAAGAAAACTGCACACCAAACGCATGGTTAAAAGACTTCTGACTGCCACGATTTGCCACCTGTCTGACCACCACCAGACTGCAGGCTACTCTTTGTATTGCAGAAAAGACTGGCACAGAGAACATCTCTAAAAAAGGGAGCCTGAACATCATCTCCCTGCCCTAAAAAGCATTTCTCCTGTCAGAGGAGGACCCTCCCTTCCAGTTTCAACACATCCTATCTTGAAAACAGATTTTGGCTTTTGTTTCATTAAAAAGGATATTTGTTCAATTGTCATAACAAAAGCAACACTTATGGCTTTTCTTTGTGGTTTTTATTTAGGACACAAGTCAGAGCATCTCTAAAGAGCAGATGTTTAGAAATAGCTGGAGTATTAGCTTCAGAGTATGGGATATAGGCTACTATAAGGATCCTCAATTAGAAACTGTCAGAAAAACAGCTAGAGCACTCATGCTTTCTCCACTGAATAAAACCAACAGATGACAAAATAGTTGTCGTGGTTTAACCCAAGGACCACACAGCCGCTCGCTGACCCTCCCCCCCGCCAGTGGGATGGGGGAGAGAATTGGAAAAAAAAGTAAAACTGGTGGGTTGAGATAAAGGCAGTTTAATAGGGCAGCAGAGGAAGAGAAAATAATAATAATGATAAAAGAATATATAAAACAAGTGATGCTCAATGCAATTACTCACCACCCACTGACTGATGCCCAGACAGTTCCCGAGCAGCAATTGCTGCCCCCCGGCCAACTCCCCCCAGTTTCTATACTGAGCATGACGCCATATGGTATGGAATAGCCCTTTGGCCAGTTTGGGTCAGCTGTCCTGGCTGTGCCCCCTCCCAACTTCTTGTGCACCTGGCAGAGCATGGGAAGCTGAAAAGTCCTTGACTAGCATAAGCACTACTTAGCAACAACTAAAACATCAGTGTGTTATCAACATTATTCTCATCCTAAATCCAAAACACAGCACTGTGCCTGCTACTAGGAAGAAAATTAACTCTATGCCAGCCGAAACCAGGACAATAGTAAAGTCTATAAAAGAAAAAAATCATTAACAATTGAAAAATAATTTTTAGTTCTTTGTAATTAATAACACTTTCAAAGAACAAATGGACGTTAGCAAAGCCCCATGACTTGACATAAGTAGAATCACTACTGTGCCACCTGTTATCAATTATTTATTTAGTAGTACAAATAGCATATCAGTAGTTAGGAGAGCAATAGCTAATGAACGGTTGGTTTAGTCAAATATGGATAACATTTTTAAATTGTAACTATAGAAGAATCCTATATCATACAAAATAAGAGCAAGCTACCAAATACAAACCAGAATATTTCAGGTCATAATGTCATTCAGCTTTGGTGTGCTAATAGTTTTTTAAATAACTGTCTTGACTGATTCTCTAAAAGAAAAAAAGTAATCCAAGTAAAACTTTTAAAAATTTTCCTAATCTGCTTCCTCAAATAACAAGTGTCGCTACAAATGGAAAAAGAAATCCTCGTGCGCGATTTACGAAGTGGTTACTACGGAGCAGCTCTGCAGTGGCTTATGAGGAAACGGCAAGTAAGTGGCAAACCATTTTCGGCAGCTGAGCTATCCTGAATATCAGGTCAGTAATGATGCAAATATACGAGCACAGATGTAAAGGAAAATGTGTGGCTTGAGAAGCTGAAACAGGGACAAGAGGGAATGTTCCTCACTGAGAGAGCATGAAGTTATTAGCCATCTTCAAAGAAAAAATACTTTTCTCCTTATTAGGCAATTTTGCAAATGGTGAAGAAGAAACTTCTAGAAGATGGGACTACCCTTTCTGTTCCATACTCCCTCTATCGAGAGCACCTCTAGAGAAGAAATCTGCCAGTCACGGAAATGTGACAGTAATGGTTCTATTTCAGCAAAAGATGATGCTAATATACTTCCAACAATTTTCTGTTCTGGACTGAGACCTCCATTACAGAGTTCAAGCCATTCTGCGGTCCTGCTATTTTGAGAACGTTCTATATAATTTTTCAACCTACGCTATGAAACAGGTATAGACTAATTACAGGGATTATTGATGGCTTAAATTTGGTCAGAGTCACTCTCCTGGGGAAAATAAATCCCTTTCCAGAACCAACATAATCATTTCTGGTTTGGTTTGAGCTGCCGTCCATCCTGTGTCAAAGATGGTTTTAATATTATTTCTTTTGGTTTCTTTTTTTTTTTTTTTTTCCTTTCCTTCTCCCTAACGGAAGACTGGCCTAACTGGAGAAATCTAAGACGCTGCAAAGCTAGTTTGCATTCTGTCTGTTTTCTCCAGTCAAGCTTCTATCTCATCTGCCTGCATCCACAGCCTAGCTTAAGCTGACAACAGACTTCCATTTTTCAGCTGATTAATGTTCCTCCTTTAGAAAACACTGTAAATATGCTTTTCAATATTGCTCTTCGTCAAACATATACTATTCAATAGACAGAAACTCTGTGTATTTCAAGTACTACATATGTCAAACTAAGGAACTAAGGATGATGAAAATGCACGTTTTTCTTTAATACCTTTGGCACGGTTCAGCTCTGCTGGAGTGACTAAGAGGAGCCCACCTACATGGATCAGAAGCCGTACGGGAGTTGCGCTGAGCACATTGTTTGACAGGAGCTGCAAAGTCCTGCCTGGCCGGGGGCCAAGCCAGGTTTCCCGGTAGGAATGTGGCCCGGGAGCCAGCTCCCCCAGCCACACTAACTGCACTATCTGCCCGTTTCAAACCGGGACATTTTACTTCTGCGAAAACTTTGAACATGAGAAGATTACTGGGAAACTGGGAACTGTATTTATGTCAGATGCACCCACTAAATCAAGACTTTTAAAACTTTCTAGAAAGGAGCATTATCCTGTTGCTCCTTTTCCTAAGGTGCCTTTGTGAGCTGCATGCAGAAGACGCGTGTCTGGTTGACTCCAGAGCTCCAAGATTATT